GGAAAACTCTCGAGGTCAGCTACAAGAATATGTAATAAAAAATAGGGGATGCCATTTAAAAAAATTGGTGTGACCTTTATGTGACCTTCAAATAATTCTTCAAGGTCAAACCAATGGTACCATCTTATGTCCCCCTCGAAATCATACAAATTTGTCTGAAACATTTTTGTCTGCTGGACTCAGTTTTCGAGATATTTTACTGTCCAAGTTAAAATGGGACACCCTGTATAGTTTATTGACAAAGTAGAATTTGTATCCTCGCAAGTCTGGCTTATTTTCATGGACACTGTCTAAATAGTATCTTTGGTGTATTTTCTAAGTAGGAGGGACGTATGCTGCTCGCACGTATATCTATAAGGCAAGAAAGATGGTACAATCTTTGATATATTTGACGGAATGTTTAGAATCAAATAGCAAAAGGAATTTTGACCCCGGTGGGACAACTCACCGGCGATTGTACCGACGAACCAACCCATAGGCAGCCGTATTTTTTCATTTCTCCTTCTGATTTGTGCGTCTCAATCTCTAATAAAACAAGCTTCGGGGATTCTGAGATTGAGTACGTGACAGAGAGAACTAACCAACAAACAGCTACAGTGCATCTAACAAATACAGCAACAACAATAAAAATAAATATAAATAAAAGTCGGGTACCAGCTCCGCAAGGTAAGCTAAACCATTAGTGCATATAAATACGTGGAGAGATGCATGAGGAACCAAAAAGTAACATGTAGAATCTAGATATGTAGAAGGATCTAAGCAAAGTGGCATTTAGCATTGTATAGTGCAAAGATTTTTCTTTTGACAGTACCGTACTGGTCTACACCCTTTGTTACGTACAAGTTGATAAGAATATGAGAAAAAAGTGTGTGTGTGTGTATGTGTCATCAAAAGAAAATTAAAAGATATTTTTGACTGAATATACGAACAACTTATAACACAACCGATAAATACATGTAAAAAGTGTAAGTATAAGAAACGAAAGCGCTTTGAAAATCTCATCAGCACTAGTCCGCTTTACTTATCTCACGTATCACGTATCACGATAAACCTGCCCAACTAGTAACTAGTGTAAAAGCATACTCAATTGGAGTTGAAATCATTCCAAGCATATGTTTTATATCAGTGAAAGTATACAAAGTATTGTAACGATCTTTTCAAATCCCAAAAGCACAAGTCTTTTTTACCGTCATCTCCAACACTTCGTTGTCTTTGCGTCGTCATCTGGGGTTCGTCGACCAGTGGCGTCGAAGTGTTGGAATGTGGTTCCACGAGAGGACTCAAAGGTGCTCCGCTTGTGCTTACCGACGACACAACCGCTTCCGTTTTTACTGACACCAACGGTTGCGATTGACAAACCGCCGTTACCGAACCACTTGTTGTCGTCGAGTTTCCATTACTACTACCGTTTGTAGCGTATCGTGGATACGGCTGATATCTACAGATATATATATATCATGTGTGTGAAGCATCTCAAGTATTAGTATCTGACAAATAAACTGCAAATTTATTTGCATTCTTGACAGGTTTTAACAATAGTTTAATAGGAATCGTAGAACGGATGCAAGTGAATCTGCAATTTGTGACATACTAATACTCGAGACGCTAGCTTCACACACGTATTTTGTAAAACATCGTAATAGGCGTGTCATGTTACATCCATCTATCAATCTCAGCTGCAATCGCTACCTTCTACTGCTGGAAAGCGCCGGCTCGGTTTTGCCGCCGCCGTTGCCGCCGCCGCTGCCGCTGCCGCCGCCACCATTGTTGTGGTTGTTCAATATTCGAGCGTGCAACGATGCCGCGAGTCCTTCTACAGGTAACAACTCCCCATTCGATGTACCTTGAGATGAATGTAAAGGCGACGAATGGGACTGCGTGAGCGACTGAGACGGATTATCCGAAAAGTAAGACTCGTGGTAAGGCTTAATATCCGCCCGCGGCAATTGAACCGGTGTATATCTGTAAAAGGAGACGATGGAAATAACGGATCCGCATCTGAAGCGTTTGTCGAAGAATACCTTTGCGGTTGCGTCGCCGGAGTGAAGAGCACAGACGACCTCGAACTAGTCGAGGGTGTGGAGGTGGAAGCCCCCGAGGAGGTGGGCGCGTAGCTAGCTACATGCGCCAACGTCGACAAACCGGCGTCTCCCTCGGCACTTGCTGGCCTGCTAATGGGAGAGTAGACGGTTTCGGGTCTTATCATCGCACTCATATCAACAGTGGCGTTGATTATAGACTGATTGGATATCTCGAGAGTCCTTTCGATCTCTCCATTAACGAGGTCGGCAATCGTCCTAGTGACGACGGGTCCGCTCCCACCAGGTGGTCCACCAGGGCCACCCGCTGCAAGCCGATTGTCATAATTGGACGATTGCCTAGGATCGATCGTCGTTCTGTCGGACGATGTCAAGTGAGACGACGAGAGACGCTCTTGCGAAAGATGACGGCGCAACGCTAGCTTCGCGGGTGACACCTGCAAAACGTACGACACGTTAGAGCAATTGTCTTTAACAATTTGTTAACAAACAGGTTTGAACTCACTTGAGTATAATCCGGAGTAGAAACATTCTGTGGTAGTAAAACGCGTTTTCTCTCGGACTCGGATTGACTTTGCAATTGCATCTGTTGTTGCTTATTTCGGTTTTGCTGATCTTCATTCAATACACTCGTGATGATACTTTTCAGTCTGTCCTCGAAATTGGCGACTCTCGGTGGCTCTTGATTGCTTCTACTCGACACGTCCTTGTTGGCTATCTGCGCTGTCTGCGATTGGGTGGACGAAATAGTGGACAGCGTGGCGAAACTGAGAGACGCCTGTGGCAGTCTAGCTCTGGAATTGCTGTTACCACCACTCTGCCTATTTGGTATACGACCCGCTTCTATTTGTCTTCCCGTTTCCAAAATCTTTTGCGCCAATATCTCTGGATTGTTCTCCTGTATCTTCCCTATATCCGGGACGTCGGGCCATTCCTGCGACCTCGAGCGGCCTTCCCTGCTTTTACGCGTAGCTCCATTTTTATTACTTTGCTGTTGTCCACCGTGATGCAAATTTTGTGCCGAGTGTTTACTTCCAATCGCATCCTTTTGCTGCTGAGCAATGGCAGCGGCCTGCTTTTCGTTACTCGTCCTCTCCAATACGTTTAATTCGTGCTCTAGCTTTGAAACCTGTCGCAAGCGAAAACAATCATGCCGCACATAAATATACGTTACAGCGTTACAATTTAATACGAAAGAAGGAGAGGAAAACGAAAGTAAATTGCAAATTAAAAGAACTGTAACAAAACTGAGAAACTTTTCTTCGCCAGTGATTAGTTGAAGTAAAAACGTACTGGGGAAATATTATTCGATGTGTCTGGCAATACTTAATTAAAGGAATTACACAACGTTTCGGGTGAAAAAAGGCGTCTCGATTGCGTTCTAAAGTCAGACAAGTGCCAACCAGTCGAAATCTGAAGACTATGAAATTATTGTGCGTTAAAAAACAGAGTTACAGAGTTACAGGGTATAAAAGTGAAAAAGGTGAAATAAACAAATTTACACGCTTAGGAAAAAATAGAAGGGCAATTCTATTTTCCGTATAACACTGATCGCATTAAATTCAGAATAGACGACCGTCTATGTTCGCACCAATCAATTCACAATAATAATGGTCAATTTCACAATAATAATGGAAGTTTTCTAACGGTATACAAGTATACAAGTTACAAAAGACCAATGTAACGGAAAACATACAAGTGAAAGCCACAAAAAGGGAGAAACAAAAATAATCCTTCCAAGCGCAAGACACAAATGTAACAAGATACGTACTTGAGAGTGCAAACGTTTACGCTGCGAAAGAGTGGCGGAAATTTCCTTCAACAAATAATCCTCGGTGAGCGGCTGGTGTGGATTCGTCATGCCATTTGCCTGACCATTATATTTCTCCTGTAATTCTTGATGCCTGAGCGCCACCAGCCTGTTTTGTTCAGTTTCCATAGACGCTACTTGCGCCTGCAATTTGCTTGCCTTAGCCTGTAGCTGTTTATGTCTGAGAACGATTTCCTTGGCTTTCGACAACAGATCCCCGGGTGACGTAGCATTGATACCTAATTCAGTCATTCTCGCTTTCAAGAGAGCTACGCTATCGTCTATTAGCACTTTGATTTGTTTCTCCAGTTGCGCCGCTCTCGACTGAAGCTTCGAGTTCCTTTCTCTTTCTTTCGCGATATCCGTATTAATGGACACTTTGTAAGCGGGCGTTCTCATCGATTCTAACATGAGCATAAATTGGTCCCTGCGGCAGAAGCACAGTGTTTTGTAATCTGTTTGTAACATTAACAGCGCGGAGAAAGGAGACACGGGAAAAAACCGAAACAAAAATAAAAGGAGATAAACAAGATAGATACCTATACAAGTCCAAGAGTATTTGTAGAGCGTAGGGAGTCGCGGACGGAGCAGGTGGTATACTGAGTTCTTCGTGCACCGAAGTGGAATGCGATTGCAACGAAAGCGACAATGAAGACAATTGTTGGTCTACGCAGCCGGGAGCAGGCGGGGGCTTCTTCCCGAGAGCTTGAGGCGATGTACTGAGCAAAGTCTGACTATGTAACAGATCTAATCCAGATATATTGATTGCCTTCTTAGGCTTGGCTCTCTTGATGCCTCTGCCCCTCTGTCTACCTCTAGCAGGAGCTCTCGTAATGCCATTTGCAGTTTTTCGATTGAACTTCCTCCGTATCTTGTTCGGCTGCCGGCGACTCTTGATAGCGCTGTCGTCCAGATCGGAGTCGCTGTTTGTTCCTTGCTGCTCCGAATGATTCGGACTGTCCAACTGCCTCGAGAGATCCCTCTTGGCTCTGTCCCCTCTCTCACTCCTATTAGAAATCTTACTACTATTGCTGGCAGTGTTGTTTATCACAGTATCAGAGTTTTCATCTAAGCCACCTTGTTTATTGTTTTTCAAGCGGTGGAAATAACGTTCCAATTTCGTTCGGTCGATTACGTGCAGGTAATACGACACAGGCTTACCGGTCCAAGAGACGGAACCTTTTAGCGGCGACATCTCCGAGACGTGCATTATCGTGCCGATATCTGGCGGGGCAAGAGAATTGCGAGATTAGAATCGCGTCGCGAGGAACAGTCGCCTCTGGAAATATCGGTTAAGAAACTATTGCATTACCACTCAAGTTTCTGTCCGTTATTCGAAAGTTTAGCGGACAAAAGGATTTTGAGGACACTATACGCGCGCCGTCCCGCAAATCAGCGAAACGTTCCTTCAGCTGATGATCAACCGTTGGGCCAAATGCAAAATTATTAACGAACACTATCGTAGATCCGGTAATACTTTCGCGATGCTCGTCGGCTAAGAAGTCTCCTTTTACCAGGCGATATTCTCCGCACCGCTTCCCGTACCAATTTAGCCATTTCCGAAAATTGATTTCCATGCTCTGCAACGGAACGCACCATCAATAAGATTAACGTTAATACAATGGATTTGCGATAAACGTTCCAAGTGGACATTGATACGTACCTGTGCATATTTCGATGGTACGTCCGCTTTCTCCACGCCGACGCAAATTTTACACAAAGTCGCAGCTGCCATCTGAAGAACCACTTGGCCAACTCCAGAACCCAGATCGACAAAGACATCGTCCTCTGTCACGTCGATCTGATCGATCATCTGGCAAACGAGTTCATAACTCGTTTCGCCGTAGACCTCGGGTGAAAAGGGCTCGTATTGATTCAACTTGTCCGGCTCGACCACAGCTTGATTGTAAGTTTGTTGAAGTATGTGACGAAGCAAACCTCTGCTAGGTCTCTTGTTTAGCCTCTGGGACGGCAGGCTCGTGCCTTTTTCCTATCGTACCAAGACGTTTTTGTTACTCGAGGGGTTTTACAAGCAAGGAAGCAAATACACTCGATGGCGGGAGACCAACGTACCAATTGTACTAAGCTATCGATGGCTCTGTTGAATCTATCGCACAGACTTTTCATACTTTCGTAGTCTCTTGGGTCGTAGTCGCAAAGCACATTATTTTCCAAGGGTAACTTGAGATCTGGCAGATCTTCGCAAACCCATCGCATAGATTCGATAACGTCCAGCGCTCCATCGTGACGATCCTGCGACACATACGTAGGCGTAAGATGCATATGCACATATATATATGCGGAGGAAAGAACAAGCGTATGGAGAATGACAACTCACAGAGCCCGATCCAGAAGTGAGAGGCCACTGATAGACGATCGGTTCCGCTCCTGCTGGCGAGTGCAAACACAGCTCCATTTTTCCTAGCCTAGAGAGTCCTTTCCCTAGTGTCGCTGCTCTTCCTCTTGGCGCGTACGAGAGGAAGGAGAGAGAGAGAGAATAGGGGACGTACGCGCGCACGCACGCACGCACGCACGCACGTACGCACGTACGCACGCACGCCGCACGGGTTCGTACCCACCTTGTCGAGTGGCGTGATGTAACGCGCGCGCCGTTCGTAAGGTCGATCTCAGGAGCGCACGGGAGCGAGGTAGGAGCGAGGAGGCAGTGCTAGCGTGAGCCGCGCTCCGATCGATCTCTCCCGACCCCGAGTCGAGATTCTCTCGCGGCAGGACGACCAGCCGAGGCCAACTAGGACACGAGCACCGCGTAGACGACGCTCGCCGATCCCCCCCGCACCGCGGCTACCTCCACGGACATGAAAGCGTCCGAGATAGCCGACGCTCGCCCACGATGAACCTTGCACGAGGACGAGGACGAGGATTATCCAGCCCCGCGCGGCGTGCATACAGAATACGGATTGACGGGAGGCTACGCGACTGTCGAGTAGTGCGGAGGCCGGTGAACGCGTGACGGACCGTGCCACCGGGGACCACTGGCAACTCACCCAAACCCACCGGGAACCACCGGGCACCACCGTGGACGCGCGGCGTCGATCTACGAAAATGCACACGCTTAAAAACACGGGCTGCCGTGCTGCACGGTGAAACAGAGCTCGGCCTCGGGGAGGGGGGGGGTGACGACATCAAAACATGGCGAAGATGGCGTCATGCCTCTCTTCCATCTGCCGTGCTCACTCTCTCGCCGTCTCGCCCTCCTACATCCGGTCTCCGCGAGCGACTCGGAGAGCGCGCGCCGATCGCGCACGGCGCCGGACATTCCCCTCTTCGCGCGCGCGTGTGGCGCTACGAGAGCCCATGGTGGAAATAACAAGGGGTGCGTTCCGAATTAGCTATATTTCTAGTTACAAAATTGGTACTACTGTAACTAACTTGCATAGGTTCCGTAAAGCGGCCTTTTCATTGACGCTACGATTTAGCGTCAAATAGGGTGCATTCGTTTAGTCCCAGTCTACAATAGAGATTTAAGCCCTAAGCCTTAAGAAATTGACTAATCACAGTCGCGCATTCTTCTCATACTTGACCGTGATTGGCCAATTTCTTAAAGCTTAGGGCTTAAATCATCTATTGTAGACTGGGACTTA